AATCTGCTTTCAGCCCAAGCTTCGCAAGAGAAATTTGCAAACGCGAACAGGTCACCAGCACCAGCTTATCGAGTAGGAGATATGGTTTTGCTTAGCACGCGAAACATCAACTCAGTCAGACCCATCCCAAAACTCGATCACAAGTTCATCGGTCCCTTTCGAATAGAGCGCGTCCTCGGATCTCACACCTACCAGCTCAAACTGCCACATGAACTATCTTCAATTCACAATTCATTCCATACCAACCTTCTGCGACCATCACCAAACGACCCACTCCCCGGGCAGCACAACCCTCCACCCCCTCCTATAGCGTTAGATGAGAAAGGAGAGAGGCTCTGGGCGATCGATAAGGTACTGGACTCAAAACGTACAAAGGGTAAGGGCTTCCAATACCATATACTATGGAGAGGCTTTGGTCGCGAGGAAGCGACATGGGAACCCTTACACAATGTCGTCCCGAGAGGAAGCGACATGGGAACCCTTACACAATGTTGTAAACGCCCACATAGCGATCAAAGAGTTCGAGAAACGCTACAGAAACAAACCCAGACCCACAAGACGAGAAATCCGAACCGCCCGGTCCCAGGCGAGACAAGACGTGGAGGAAACGACGTGATGGAACAAAGGCAGTCAAAAGTAAGGGAGTAAGACGAGACCATATGTAAGGGAACGGCCCCACTTTAGGACATAGCTAGCTCGAGTCAGAGCTTCCGAAGGAAGCTCTTACTCTCCTTGTGAACAATCGCTTTATCCAAGTCGCACTTGACCTTGCTCGTGCCCTTGTACCGTCACAAGAACTGTGCAAATAGCTGGTCGTTTGAGGTATCACACGAGTGCAGGTAATGCCAGACTGGCCCACACGAAGGCAAGGGATACGGATTTGGCCGACATTTTGTTTGGTTTGACTAGAGTGAAGAATAAAGTATTGAAGACTGTGAGCGTTGATACACGTGGTGTCGACTGCAAGATTTCCTTGGAGAAACCGCGCGGGGAGGTGCGCCTTATATAGACGACTCGAATGTTCTTTTCACGCAACAACTCCACCACACGACTGCTTGTCTGTCCTTGTTCTTTTGTCTTTTTTTTCCCTTCTCCTTTATTCATTCTCCGGACCATGTGCCGGCTGCTGAAACCCCGGCAGCCCTGCCATAAGGCGAACCAGACATATATGTTCCGGGCCAGTCACGGATATATCCAATTCGCGAATCGCCCGGTCCATTCGCGAATTCAAAGTAGCGGTGTGCGTCTAGATTAATTTCCTGACAGACTGACCATCCACTTCCCTACTTCCTTGACTTCCTGCATACTATACAACCAATAGGTCAAAATGGAACCAACAATTGCTCTGATAAATCCATTTCCAAATGATTTTCGGAGTGCATTCAAATCCTACATTCAGAGCCCAGCGTACACCCATAGAGAGCGCATCGAATACGCCAAATGGCGGGAGTTGCATAACGTGGTTGCATAGCGAGTGCGCCAACATAGCGAGTGCGCCACGTTGCCTCAAAATACAGACATGCTCCTTACATCGCAACACTCATCAACCCTTCAATTTCTCGGCCATACGCCTTCTTTAGCGGCCCAAAACAATCAACATCTAATGGCTGAAGAATATGTGATGAATGCGCTGGCATGCAGAGCGTGATAATCTTATGGTCCTTGCAGAATAGTTCAAATTCCGTTGAATGGTGGCTTTCGTGCCCATCCATGATTAGAAGACGATATGCACCTTGAGTTCGCGGCTTAGTATGCTTTTCGAAGTGTTGGATCCATTCTACGCCTTTCTCATTTGTAGTCCAGCCATTAGGAGTCGTGGAGATGACCCAATCCTTTGGTAGCGCGCTATCTTCGTACCAGTTCGCGAGATGATGCAGCCCCGCGACGATGATAAACGGCGGGGTAGCCTGGCCGCGAGAATTAATGCTCTGGATCATGGAAACCCATTCTCTATTACCTGGCTGGGCCAAAGTTGGTTTGCCATGTCTATCTGAGCTTGTGACAACCATGGTAGCTGAGGTCATGCCCATCATAAACCCAGTCTCATTGTCACGGCACCAACCTGGCTATGGTCACGTGCCTCTCTGTACTTAGTCTGGACCACGTCCTACCTCCATAGTTTGCCCTCCTCATAGCACAACATAGATCTTCCCTGGCATCCTAGGTCTGCCCCGTGATACTCATCAAAGTTGTGGAAATCCTCCTCTAGTATTCCGTATTGCGCGACTGTGTTACGCACAAGCTCAAACCAGTCCCCAATCACCTTTGGGTCTTCGCATAAGGCCCGCTGATAGTCATATCAAGGCGTAAAACGCGTAGTTAGCTCTTTGTGGCGCCTGACGAAATTTGAAGCCCATCGTGGTCCCACGGGAGGCGCGTCGCGATCTGCGAGCAGTCGATTCGCCATATCTTGCACACCAGTAAGCCGGGGAGAAAATGATCGCGAATTCAGGTCAAGGATATAGTGAATAATGGTGGATTCCTCTAGGTCCGTGAGTTTTCGACAGTTAGGTGTAGTATCGCGTCTTGATTGTATATGATCACGTCTTCTCCTTAGTGTATCTCGAGAGACGTTGTAGGTCCTTGCAGCAGCCCGGATGCTTAGTTGGGGGTTTTGCTTAAGAGCTTCAATGGCTAAGAATAATTGGCTTTCATTGGAGACAGAATCCATAATTTTTGGTGGAGATATTCTGATGTGTAAATCGCTTACGGGCTCAAGCCAGGGGTTAACCCCAAACAGTGGCTGAAACAGACCTCACGTGAGGAGGCCTCAACACCTCTTCAGGCATGCGTTATCCATAGTTAGATAGATTGAACAAGCAAGAACAACATCATGATCACAAGCGCGTAGCCGTTTGTGCCTGTGATAATTATCACCCGATAGAAGCCTTGCGCTTCCAACAACGACCTTATCCATCATTTTGAGGGCATCCAATATTTGTTGTTCTAAGCCCTACAGTTGGTGACCGGGCACAGTGTTATTCAACACTCGCACGATGCAATCTGACAAGATGTTAGGCTGTGCGTTACGGAGAAAAGACCCTGCGTATTAGAAGCTGCCCGTTCACAGGTCTAGAATCATGATAGCCGAGGCAATCTGTGGTAGTTTGTTTTGAATGCGCACAGCCTCGGTGGGAAGTATGGAGAATCGGGCAAGCAAAATATATCTAGAGTTTGAGGTCATGGGCTTTGCAATAAAGTATGAATGTGTAGATGATTAAGGGCCCTAGAATGGAGTATTAGGTCCTGTGCCCAAGCGACGTCTCATGATGGTTGTTTATGCGAGCGTAAATTGCCCAAATTCCCTAGCAGAACAGTGGGGTCAGCCTAAGCAGTCATAATTTCAGCGCCCCTGCATAGCTGACCTATTGCTTAAACTGTACAGGGGCTCAGCGATGCCGGCATTGCCTATTCATGACAAGAGGCTGCCAAGCCTTTATATGTAGCGGCTTGTGGTCTGAAGAAACGGAACCTGGCATCCTCGACGGAGCGGACGATTGACCAATCCGAGCTTAAAGATAACTAGCGGCTATTTCTCCCTTTCGGCAGTTTTGACAAAAACGGAAAGGCAACATGCCACGCAGTCTCATGTCCCCACTCCACAATGAGATTAAAATATGGAGCTGTATTTCCCCCATGGCTCCCTCCTCACTCTTCCCAATGTGTCAGATATTACCATGAACAACCAAATGCATAAACATATACCCGTTAGTCAAGGTGCGGGGCCCACAGCAGCCCATCTAAAGGGCGAAGGATGCAGGCTGCGACTATGAACACTGATTCCGCGTGCAAGGCATGTGACGGCAACCACGACCTGGCTAAATGCTATTATGCGTTTCCAAAGACAGCCCCTGACTACTTCAAGGAGAGAAAATTGACTCGAGATGCATTTGAACATCGCTTAAGGACTGACCCTTCATTAGAGGAGGAAACCAATCACATTATCAAGACTAACCAGTTTGACGAGTCCGCATGACTAGAACTAGTTATCGGGAGATGTGAGGCACCCTTCGTGTTGCTGTTCTCCACGGAGCGTACTCCGCTACCCTTACCTTGCCGGTTTTACTAGATTGTATGGAAGTTACTGACTACTAGTATAAGATCATGATCAATACTGGAGCACAATCTTCCTAAATAGTGGGAGATGAATTGCGCCAGCGATCATACGCATTGATCTGATTCAGGTACTGTTAGGGAAGCTGGCTACACCATCTCTGCTATGAAGTACCTGTGAGACAAGAAACTATGGGCGAATCAGAAGTGGTAAAAATTAGGCCCGCATAAGAGTCAGTCCCGCTTAGCCAACGGGTCAGGCCCGTCTAGCAATTCCCTTTCGAATACTCGTGCCACGCCCCACCTTTAGGTGGGGCGTGGCACGAGTAGCTACCTGAGGAACTCTCTCATTGATGCTGAGGGCTAACTACTTAATATAACAGAATTGTTGTTCACTAGCAGACATCGTGTACCAATGGGGGAAAAAGTCAACTCATGGTTCTGCATATGCCCAGCTTTGGGAAACTATATCTAGTCTAAACGCTGTAATAGCAGTGTGATGAGGTGGGTGAGGAAATCGCTGATTGATTCTACTTTTTTCTTAAAAACCGAATTCCTCCATAGCTGCTCAATTCTACAAGCAGCATAAAAGCAGACCAAGGACCGCAATGGGTCCACATCATCTCCATTATCCACCGTACTCCCGAATGTGTAGGTCACAAGCTCTGCTATGTCGACGCAACTCTCATCGTGCAGCACGAAGCGCGTCAGTCAGTGATCGGAATGGTCTGGTC